TTTCGAACAGTTCAGTTCATTTGGAACGAACTGTTGGAAACAGCTCAGTTCGTTCAAAAGAACTGTTTGAGTAGTTCTTTAGCTCATTTGGACGGAGCTCGTGAACTGAGCTGGTCGACCCCTAGTTACAATCTTTCAATAGAACTGATTTTGTGAGCAAATTTCTCCCATTTCTTTCATAAGGTTAAATCTATACCCTGCGGGAAATCTATCCATAGATGAGGCAGAGTCTTAAATTGGGATGTGGCAATAAACTGTAATTTATTATTATTATTATGAAAACCCGAATTTTTAACCTTGTATATGTTTCGAGGATCTCTAACTCGTGGAATTTCTAGCTGCCATAACTTGAAGTAATAAAGAATGCTTGTTAGCGCAGCTCCTTTGGGGCTGAAATGTAAAACTCACATATCTCCTTCGATTTCATTATACTAATGACAAAATACCCAATATTTGGTAGTATTTTGAGATTTTGATTGTCAAAAGATGCTTTTTATTAAAAATAAACACAATATTCGAAATCAGCGTGGAAAATTACACCGAAAACTCTATTTTTTATTGTGAAGTATTTCCTATCAAAATTTGACCCGTAGGGGACCCCAGGGAAGCGTTTAAGGAATAAAAGACTGAGGGGTTAGTTAACTTCAAAATTTTGATCTGAACTAGGATACATTAAAATTTTTAGCCAAATTATTCGTGGCTGACTGGTTGAAGATACGTGTCGGGATGAGGGCGAGAGTGTATGGTGAATGAGAATGAGTGAAGATGAAACTGTTACCCACGTCCTCGCGCTCGACCTCACCCTCATCAGCCAGCCATTCAAGTGTCTATATTTCAATCCGAACTAGTTCAAATTAAAATATTATAATCTGTCCTGGTTTAGATCAAAATATTTCAAGCTGTTCCAGTTCAGATCAAAATCTTGAAGTCAACTAGTTCACATTAAAATGCATTTCGAAATCAACTAGTTGAATTCAGAATTTTGATCTGAACTAGGATAAATTAAAATTTCAATCTGTCCTAGTTCGATTTAAAACTGAACTGGATTTCAATCTGTCCTACGACATATATATGAGTTTTAGAGAGTTATTGATGCTTAATTTCCCTCAATATTCACTCTTTCATCCTGATTTTTGATGAAATACTACGCATTTCTGTTAATTGAAACTTAAGAGAATAAAGTATGACTCTAAGTTTGGCAGTAATAAACGTACAACATCATATGATAAAATACAAATAGTTTATATGAATGTCTATTTTATATTCAAATGCTAAATTTTGTAGCACGGCCTATTAAGAAAAATTCTAGTAAATGATCGACAGGTTCAGATAAGTTTATGTAAATACAATGTTTTAATTGTTTGACTTTTGTCATTGAGTTTTTATTTTTATATAAACAGTAAAAAAAATATTTAATAAGTGCATATCATTTTAACAGTCATTATAATTTTCTAATGGAAATATTTTCATTTGTTGTTTGATTTATCCAAATGAATGAAGGAAAAATAAAGAAATAATAAAATAATAAAATATGTTATATGCATATAATACACAAAGAAAACATATATTTATAAGTCGAATAGTTAAAAATTCAAAGCTGAACAGCTTCAAAATGATTAGTTGACGGAGAAGTTGAATACTCGAGCCAACTATTCGTCTTATACATATATGCTTCAACAAGAAACATGCGAACAGATGCAGCTATATATACCTGATGATGAAAAAGGAGTATAGAAGAACTAGTATCAAATATATCTAATAGTTTACTAAATGTTAATGATGTCTCTTCAAAAAATGCATCACCAATCAATTGTATATATTTATTTGATTTTTTTTACTAAAGCAACATTATCACTATAAGCACTAAAATCAAGTAAAGCAGTTGCCCCATAATTGTATTCCTTATCATCCATATCACGTAAACAAATATAATTATCTAATGGATTATTTCTTTCAACTTTTGGATTGATACAAGTCTAAAAGTAGTAAAAAAAAATTTTTATTAAATGAAATTTTTCTAGAACAAATTGATAAATAAAGATATAATTCAAAATATATTAACTAACGACATCCTCCATAAGACATCGAAAGGAGAATAGAGACGACACGAGCTATTGGTAATGGCTGTCAAAAAAAAATATATGTATATATAAAGATATTGTGGCACAATATTAAAAGTGTCATTGTAAAAGATAACTGTTTTCAGTAATAGAGATCTTATATTGGAGGTTGTAGGAATTTAAAAAAAAAGAATTCGTGAAAATAAGGCAGATAGTTGAAATAAAGGAAGAAGGATTAAAATCATAGCTAAAACGTTTTCTACAGATTGACTTGTTCTTCATATCTAATAGGTGAATATATCATATGATCTACATGATTTGGAACCTCTATATATATCATGTACAACAAACAACAATGAAAAAAACTCACAATTAAACAAGATGGGCATTTAAGAAAAACTTGTTTCTGAATATCCATTTCAAGATTATTTGTTGAATTATTACAATTATTGCATATACAGTTAGTATTATTTTGATTCATATTATTAGACACCACTGGATAACCGACGAGTTGATTATTCAAATTTTGTTTGAAGAGAAATATTTGATTATCTGATGATGAAAGATTATCAGGTGTATCACCACAAAAATTGCAACGAAAGTAGGATTTAATACTGGCATTAAGTTTATCATTTAGTTCATGAAATTGAGGATTGGTTTCAATTATTGAACAAACCTCTTGAATCGTTCTGCACGATTGAATATTATTAAATGAAGTAAAATTTATATCCAATATACATTTAATAATTGCTTGAAAAAGATTAAATTTAGTTTTGTTATTAATACGTTCAAACACTAAAATTCCTAATCAAATAAAAAGCTTAAGTTGAACTATTTAAAAAAAATTAATTAATAGATAATAAGTATTTTTTGGAAAACAAAGCAAAGTTAAGAAACCAATTTCTTTAAAATAATAACAAATATTAATACTTACGACTATGAGCAAAAAGACGTTTGAGTAAATCACCATTACCAATCACTCTTTTATTGATACTTGTTGACCAACTTTTCTTTATTTTTGTTACCCGTACCATCAAATCGTTTCCACCTGATCGTATGATACTATTAAAACAAACTAAATCGTACATAGCGGATGATGGAAAACCAATAGCACGCCAATCAGCGAATGAATTAAGAGAAACAAAATCAGGTGGTTTCCTATATTTGATATTTATTGGCGGCTCATTGATATGAATAATTAATACTGAAGGAAATTCTGTAACATCAATATGTCGAGTTGTAGGTTTACTACAGGATGTGCATAAGATATCCGAAGGGCTTCGTCCAAAAAATGAATTTATATCGTTTTTCAAATGAAGACCACTTTGATGAATATTGATGGGTATTGATTTAATTGTGGTTTTTATTTTCATTTTTTTTCACAAGTACTACACGAATATATTTTATTAACAACTAAATGACATGGAAGTAATGGTATAAGAATTTTTTCTAGAATAAATGTAGATTGTTGAAAACTATCAACTAACATAGTTGTTGGTAAAGAAAAACTGATTGTTGTTGAACGTGAATTATTAGTTTGAGTTAATCTTGAACTAAACCATTCTTCTATAAACGTTTTAACAACATCAAGTAACGGACAATTATGATTTAATGATGATGATGAAAGTTCATAACGACTACCAGTTTCATTTCCTGTTGAGAGTAATAAACCAATAGCAACGCACAGCCAATTTGGTGTGAAATTTGGTAATTTAAGATCAGCATTGACATCATTCCTACTCAATAGAAGTAATGAAACAAGATCAGCAAAAACTGATTGTTGAGGAGCTTTTGAATAATAACCACGACCTCTTTTGCTGATTGTTTTCCTCCAGCGTTCTTCAATAGGTTTTAATCGTCGTTCATCTAATAATGTTGATGAATTATTTGAATCAATTTTTGTAATCATGAAATGAGTCATAATTACATTCGAATATTCATCAATTAAAACTAACATATCAGGAATAATAATCGACAAAAGAACATCTAATCGTAGATGGATTTGACCACCTACAAGTATCAGCGAAAAGAATTAATATTTTAAAAATATATGTTTTTGTGTAAAACCATCTATGAAAAAAGAATAATTCTCTATTTAATTTTTAAAAGAATTCATTAAAATTCTACATCCATTTTTTTGGATGATTTAATGTTCTATCATTATCATTTTGTTAATAAAAAGTAAGATAAAATATGTAGTTTACCTAACTGCGTGCGTTTAAATATACCCATTCTTCTCTCACTTATTGCTGTTGTTCGTTGTTCAAGTTGAGCAATACAGAAATTTTTAAATGATTTGGCAGCAAGTCGACGCTGAACACTTAAATTTCCCATATTAAACATCATAAAGAGTAATATGTTAATTTTAAAGAAAAAACTTTTACCTAACAACATGTTTGACCATATCGGTGCTGTTGGCATAAAATATCTTGTCAAATATTTAAACCATTTCAAAATACCAGAAGAGCGAGCACCAAAGACATCTTCTTTTGATATTCCAGTATCAATAAGTGCATCATAGAATATTTTATTAATAACAGTTTTAAATTTAGAAGTAGTACCATTTGTTTCTTGTTCTTCATCAACCATTATCTGTATTAAAAGAAAGATAAATTTTGAAGAAAGATAAAACAGATAAAAATTCCAAGTGCAATTTCTATCAAATTATTCAGACGTATACTTGAAGTTTTAATGGAAAAATATTTTCAGACGCATTCATGATTTAGCCCCGATTTTGATAGAATGAAGAAATGGCAATATGATATTTTTCCATTACTTAATTTATATATCCAAAAGACAAACATTTGAATTATGTACGCTCAATAGAAAAATTGCGACTATTTTTTAGAAATCATTTTGAAACCGGTGAACCGAAGTAAGAAAATCTGGGTGGGGAGGGAATGATGATTTTTTTAACCCCAAAAAACTTTTTTAATTTTAGAATTTTTAAAAAAAAGTTTAACAAAGCAAAATTTCCAAATATTATGAGGATTACTCCCTTTTCATAATCCTTTCTTGACTCAAGATCTCTATATGAAAGGATTATTTATTTATTGTATGATTTATTTCATCACATTGTTAAAAATTTGCCTAATCAAGCAATTTTCATACCTTTTTTGTTTTTGTTTTTAAAAATTTATTATTTGGTTCGGGATCATCATCGTCATCATATTTGTCGTCATAAAAGTTATAAATATTTGAGTCATATAAATCTGTTGGATTATCACTTTCAAAATAATTAGAAGATGTAACAGCACTATAAGTATTAGAATCAGATTTGATTTTTCGTATTTTATCTAGTAGTATAGCTTGATATTTTTGTTTTGTATG